TTTATTAAAATAATTGTTGTATTTTTTCTACTTAATACCACTGTGACAATCTTGACCTAACACGTTTTTAACCCACATTTATGTTTAAGCTCACCTGAGCAGAAATTTGGCTTGAACATGGACTCTTGTAATCATCAAAATATCTGGCTGTCTGTTAGTCATATTTACATTTAATTCAGTTAAAAGTTATTAATGCATTATATAGAAATAATTGTCAATTAAAATAAATACTAATTATGGTAAGGGTTGTTTATTTTTCTTGCTGAAATTCATTATGATGAAGCTTTCTTTTAAATTGTCCATACATGTTTATATCAAATAGGTTTACTAGGTGAGCTTAATAGAATCATTGAGTTAGATAGAGAGTTGAAAAATCCCAGCCTCAGGGTAATCAATTCTTTTGAAAACAAGCCACAGAGAGTTCTCGATTGAACCGAAGACCCGAGGGTTGGGTTTTCCCAATCCACTATCTAACCAATGATTGATTATTTTTCTCACTGACCTGGACAAAATTTATTTTTAAAAAATATGTTAAATTTAATACTCACTGAAGTTATTAATTGGTTTTAAAAGAAGGCTGGACTTAGGATGTTCAATTCGAAATAAGGAGTGTTGTGTCCAAATATGAGTAGAATCCGTATACTAATAAGGAAGTTATGACCAATTTTTAAGTTTTTGGACAATTTGACCTTCAAGGTGAAGGTCATTCAGGGATCAAGGTCAAAAGAATATATTTAGGTCAGTTGAAAGGCCTTTTCCAAAAGAGGTGTTGTGCCTAAATATGAATTAAATTGATTTACTAATAAGGACATTATGGCCAATCTTAAATGTTTTTGGACAATTTGACCTTCAAGGTAAAGGCCATTCAGGGGTCAAGGTAAAAATACAGGTCCGTAGGAAAGTCTTGTGCTAAGGGATGTTGTGTTCAAATATGAATCAAATCCGTTTACTAATAAGGAAGTTATGGCCAATGTTAAAGATTTCGGACGGATTGACGGACTGACGGACGGACAGTTCAAAACTAATATATATGCCTCCCTTCGGGGTATGCACAACGTCTTGCAAAGAAATGCTGCTGTGCAAAAACGTTTTAATTGCTTTGGTAGATTGAAAATTATATTTTCACCATCTGAATTACATATTAAAACCAGACACGCACTGCGCTTGTCTTGCTCACAACGAGGTTATGGTGCTCACAACGAGGATTAAATCAAAAAAGGGTATATCTTCGTTTCTATGAAGACTTTCAGGTAATAATTTACGCTGAAGACTTGTGGGCATCTGTTTTAGGTTAGAATGCACAAAACTTCACCAGAATCGACGTTTTCAATGTTAAATTTGGTCCGGAGAGAAGTTGTCTCCAGTTTTCCAGCTACCCCGAGTGACTGCGTCGCACGGTATTTCCATCAAATTGTCCACCAACAGGCAATATCTTTACATGTGCATACTCGGAAAACACATCGCTAGCTAACTGCATTCCGATATTTTTACATAAATGTCTGTAATCTTCAAAAATTATGACAAACTCACCTTGTTTATCGTGTCACACGTCCTAGATGGGTGCTCACAACGAGGAACGGAAGTTGCTCACAACATTTTTACCGATGGACATTTTACACTCGTTGTGAGTTAAACGGGCGTGTGAATGTTCACCATGCAGAGTGTCAATATTTAGTGTTTCACAGTGTGTTGTTAAATCTTATATTGTGCTATTTTTAACCATTTAGAAAGTCTATTCCATCCTTTGCCCTATGCCATCCTCAAAATGGTCTCCAGTCCAAGGTTGAAAGTAAAACTATTATAAATATGTTTCTATTCCCTGCATCATCTAACACTCAAAACATATAGCTCTAATTTATAGAGTAAAATGTGCATGTAAGAATATGGCAAAAAGAATTCATAAAGAATTGTTGCAAATGGAGTGTGAGATAAGCCAATTAGGAGATTTTCCAGAACTGCTATTTAATTGTTTAGTGACATCGACAGATTTATTCTATCTGGTTAGTGAGAAAAATATATCTGCCGTGGACCCCTTGTCTTAGACAGTTCAATATCTTTTTCTTGTTGTTTGTAATGTTAATTTGATTCTGTTTTTATTTTGTTAGCTATTGATTATTTTGCAATTTTAAAGTGTTTTTGCATGCAAACTGTTGTTTATATTGTTTATAATTTTTGTAATATTGTGTATAAAAAAAGCGTTGAGTTTATTTTTTTTTTAATTTTCTTAAACTGAACATTAAGTTACTGAGATTATTTCAATTTATTTCTCTTTCAAAATTGTATTTATTTGAGCTTGGTTCTGCGTTTAATTATTTGTTACTCTGTTTAATTACAATATATTACTACAATTATTATTTTTCAAATTACAAAATGGTTTATGACTAGAAAACATGCTAAGAAAGTAATGCAACTGAAAAGATTTTAATTTGTATTCAATTTCAATCACTGAGTAAATGTTGATTTCAATTAATTAAGAAAGAATTTCCTCTTTGGATAATATCAAAGGTCAGATGTATATATTGTGTTGCTGGCAAAGTTTGGCCTTTGTCTTAATATATCATGTCTTACTATATCATGTCTTAATATATCAATGTTTTGTAAAACATTCAGTTAATTAGTATTTAATTTAGTCAGTTTAAGAAAATTAAGTTCAGCTGTTTCAAAAAGAATATTATCCTAACATTAGCTTTGTATCTCTTCAAAATTATAACTTTAATGGTCATTGAAATGGTAGGATATACCAGTATACACAGGTTTTGTTAAATCTCTCAGAAAATCATTATTATGTTTAATATTTCTTCTCTGGGGAAAAGATCTTATGGTCAGTATTAATATTACACTGAATTTGAAGTTTTATTAGTAAACATTTTACCCTTGGAAGGACTGACACTTTTGCAAACATATTCATTATAGATCCATGACCTCTCCAAGTGTAGTCGTCATTCAATCAAATGAAAATGTGATTTAGTGGTGTATTATATAAATATGCCTGATCCAGAAAATTACATTAAGCATATAATACTTGAGTAAACGGACATATTTATGTCCAAACTTTGTCTTTGACCTTGATCATTTGACATTCTGTAAATATGCCTGGTGTATACTCAATGTCAGGGTCTGTGACATCTAAATTTGGACAATATGGATTCTATGGAAAACAAAAGGTGCAGCCTCCATGATTACTTATTTTACACTATGGGTAATGAAAAGATCTGTGAAGTTTATTTTGAAATAGACTTGTATAGTCTGTTTCAGTTGTCATTTGAAAGACCATCTAGAAAAAATCATACTAAAATGATTCACAGGATCAGAGCTTTTGGGCAAATTGAATGATTATGTACTTTTTTCCCCTCATTACTAAATAACACTGAAATATAATATGCAACAAAATTTAGTTTTGTGAACAGCCCCCTTAAAAGTGATGCAAGTAATTGTCATAAAGTCATAAGTTAGGTTAAATATCAAGATTTTTCTGTTTGAGATTATGATATAATTCTTAGAAGTTTTCAGTTGAACATATAAATTATGTTTGCTGATTGGTTATTCTTTCTGTCATTCCATCATACTAACTTCTTGCTTCTCCTAGCAACATCATATTAGTGACAAATTTTATATTCATATTTCAGATATTCCTATTGTGTCTACTCAATATTTGGTATATATACATTGGACTTTAACCATTTGAAAGTAGAAACATTTCAGGTTGATTCGGGTTCATCAGGCTAATTGTCATAAAGTTCTCCACACAATTTTCTGGGTACTTGAAATATTTGATTAAAGACAATGTGTTTAGCTTTTATTGTCATAGCAACATTTGGGAGCATAACATTTAGCCTGTTATAGATATTTTTGTTTTTGTTCAGCAATTATACCAATAGCTCCTGACTGACTATTTTAACATGAGGGAGCCTTCATAAATGTTGTAGACATTGTTATTTTCCAAAAACTGCTGTTCTGCAATACCAAAATAGCACATATCAGTAACAATTTTTGACAGAAGGGAGCCTCAGAGAAACCACAAATCACCACCTAATAGGTTATTAAAATCAACTCATTATCATCTTCATCAGTACCTGGTTTATTTTTTGTCAGACACAGCAATTTCAACTTGTCATGCTTCAGAGAAAGCAAATCAAAATACTGGTTTTAATTTTGACATTTAAAGCTTATTTAAAGATGTTTTATTTTAAATTAAGTATTTTAACTAATAGGTTGTACTATTTTGATGTGTCCCAATTTGTCACATTTACATCACCATGGAAAAAGCATTGATTTGTTATGATAGATATCCATAAATTGTCACATTTAAATCACGATAAAAGACTTGTTAAAATTCATAGAAAGATACCACTTTTACATAACAAGTTACCACGTTTACATAGCAGAGCAAAAAAGATAAAATTAACTCCACATTGATGCAAACTCTAACGTCATGTATTAACTGGAATGATATATGATATGTAACATTTAGTTGTATATGTGTTATGCAATAATATTCTCCACATGTATAATATACAATCACGATAATTATAACTGTAAATTATGTGTTGCCTAGGTATTCATCTACATGGGAAAGATGGCCATTGTTCTGTTGGCCATATCAACCACATAGGGGCTGGTGCCCGTAGGATATCTACTCATCCATGAAATAAAGGTGTGATCACAGCCAGTGCTTGTTGCTGATTGGTTAGAATATTGTGAACCATTGGTACCCAGTCATTTCTTTAAATTTTGTTTCTTTACTTTATTCTTTGGATTCTTTGTTTCTCAGAGTTCTCTGTGGACAATATAACAATATAACGGGTTTCATGGCCAAAGTACTTTTTTAAGCATGATAATGTTCAGGACAAAGTCATTACACCAAAGAATTGCATTCCTCCTTACAATTTATCTCAACACAAAACGTAAGTAAGATGCAAACATGTTTATTCTGCATACTTCACAAGGATTTGTTGGTTGTATTAAATAAATCTTTGAATATTTGGCTTATTGTTTTCCAGATCATTGTGACAGAATACCAGATATTAATTTAGAAATATCACATGGTGAGACTAACTTATATAACATCATATGTCAAATCTTTTGCTGTCATTTTCTCAGTATTTTATTGCTATTTTGACAGATTCATGTTTTCTGTCTTTTCTTCTAGAATACATATGATATGGTACATCTTCACAATATTCTTAACTCTTCAGAAACAACTGTTGTGCTCTAGCATGCCCCCTTAGATAATCTTAATCCTTCTATGTTATATTTTAAGCTCACCTATACCTATATTAGACAAGAATTTGTTCCTGTGCATGACCGAAACCGTTGATCATGTTACTCCAGTGGTTATCTACATGGTTATATATACATGTAACTGCAGTCATCATTGTCCTATGTTATGAAATATCATGTTACTTAGGGAATGGTTTTTTTATGATTTTAGTGAAAATCAAATAAATTTTATGTCATCCCAATCATTGCAGTTTTGTTATTTCAGTTTTCAAGTTGCTCCAAATAAAAATCTGTTATTATGAAGTCAGTAACATAATGTTCTATTATATATTCATGTTCCTCTTGTTGATCCTGTTACTTCTGGAATACCTGCATATATTTTACCAATTACAAAAGCCCTGTTACTCTAGTTTACTCATTTATTGTTATCCTGTTACTCCTTGGTAAGCAGCATGTATATTTCACCTATTACAAAGGCCCTGTAACTGGCCTAGACACTCATATATTGAAATCCTATTATTAAATGGTTACAAGCATATATTTCTCCAATTATTTACATACTGCATGTAACTATGAAAATCCCAGTTCTTAGGATACTGTTCTGATAAGAATTGGACGTTCTGTTACTCCAAACACATATATGCTGTTCCAATAAATATCATGTTACTCCAGTCACATTGGGACTGCTCTAATAAAAATTCCATTACTGTATACTAAGTTAATTAACACATTCTTACAATTTTACTGTTATGTAAATCAAGTTACCCCAATCATTGTGATGTTACTCCATCGGGCATCTTGTTGCATCAGTTTATTTTAACATGACATTTATATCACAGTGTGTGTGACCTTAGCTATAAAAGTTTTAATTTAGTCGTATCAGGCATGTAGACAGTTTAGAATGATGATATAGACTATTCGTGGAAATGTTAGACACTTGTGGAATTTATTGCCAGCGATTGTAGTGGTGCATGCAGAAAAAAATCTGTTATACCATGTTTTATTGTAGATTTATGGCATTAGCCTAAAGATAATGATATATTATATCTTAAAAGCTTAAGAGTTTTAAAATTGTCTGCCGGAAAATAAATGTCAGTTTGTAAGGATACATTTATTAAGTTTCCTAGTTATGATGTAACACTTGTTCAATTGTTCTCTTGCTACAATGGAATCACTTTTATAGGGACTCCATTGAGGATTTTTAGATTTTTATACCATTTGATCTTGTTCTATACCATTTCATTTGTATGTTACATTTTAAGATCATTCTCTTTGACTGTTTTTCCAGAATATGCAAAAATCTAAAAACGATTTTTCAAATTTTGTGTTTTAAGGCTTAAATAGGAAAATAGGACCTCAGTGGAGTTCCTTAAGAAAATAAGGGTAATGTTATTTTAGGAAATCATGCTTCAAACACTGTGTAAGTTCGTAACACAGAAATGTGGAATTGTGCAATAGCAACATCATATCTGTGTATTATCTTAAAGCAAATCAAATTGAAAGAAATTAAATCCAATATTTCTTTCACTTTGATTTACTAGAAAATATATTAATTGTCCATTTATTAACTGTGTTGCCTGTAAAGCTATAATTATATTGCAAAGACTGGAGTTATATTGTTGCACATTTATTCTTGCATTATATTCACATTCATGCATTAAGATATATATGATGTAAAAGGAAATTGAATTTATTTTTTTTGTACTTTGCATTGACAGATCCCACAGCATTTTGTAAGAATTTATATAGAATTTTCAGTGATTTTACTGCTTTATTCTAATTAAACCCTGCAGAAAATTTTGTGAAAAGTTGTTACTTTTTATAACTAATCAGTAATTAAGTGTCAGTTATCATTGACTAAAACATCAGCTAACTTTTGGATTTACTTTGTTGAAAGTTTATGTCATTAATACAGCTGTACTGATAATAATGAAGGAATTTCGTTCTTATTACCTCCCTTTAATAGAGCAAGATGGCTTTTTAATTAAGTTCTTTTTATGTCAAGTAAAGTAATTTGTGACCGTGTAGTGTGTTTTATAGTACAATTTCATTGTATGAGTAGTATATTGTGCATGCAAACTAAATGTAGAGGAAGACATTGATAATTTCAATATTGGTTCAGTTTGTGAAGAAATACAATTTGAATGTAGCTTAAGTATTGAATGGAAGGCCTAAACAAGTCTTCCTCTACTTGAAGACTTGGAATATTGCCATGTCACCTTCATAATATTGGTGAGACTTAAAAGGCCATCAAGTAAAATAAGAAGTGTATGTGTGTGGTTGATTAGAAAATGCCACAGGGTTAGAAAAATGTGCAGCCTGACCTAAGGACTTGAACCCAGGACCCTCGGAATACGGCACTGTGGCTCTTCCAGCTGAGCTATCCGGCCGCTTACACATCATCTCCCCTAAATAGTTAACAGTTCTGAAACATGACAAAAAGGATACTTCTGTAAAAGTACTTGGCCTTGAATTAACATCAACCAATGCTAAATTAGTACATAATGTAGTATACACGTACTTGTTCTGCTTTACAATTCTTAGTCCATTATTAACTAATACTTAACATGCTGAATTATAAAAATGGATTCTGCTATTGGAAGAAGATTAAAAAAATATTTATACAAATTTTCTATAAAAGTTTTACACAGTAATTAAGTTAATTGGTTTTCAGATGATATATGACGGAAACAGATGTATATACAGACATTTTTTTTCTAAAATTCTTAAACATTCTTGATATAATGTAGCCTCTTTCAAATTAATGCAGTTTTCGGGATTTCAGTGTCAATAACTTGTTTTGATATGTAATGAACCATTAATAGTAATTAGGGACTTTAAAAGGCACATTATGCCTCAGAAATCCATATTTGTTTAATTGTTTAGAATTGCCAAAAATATGTTTAACAATGGATTTGATAATTGATTTAGAGCATGAAGGATATTCAGAACTGAAGAAAGTAGGGCTTAACAATTGAAGTATTGTGTTATAAAGTAAAAAAATGTAATTAAAATAGTATTTTGATTTCGATACAAAATGCTAATTTACTATAATTATACCACATGCCAACATTAAGATAAATCAGCAATAGATAGTTAATGTACAATGTATATGACAAATGAGAATTCTTTGAAAACTGTAACATTAAGATACCAAAAGTAAAAACAAGTTTTTAAGAAATGACAATGATAGCATTTCTGAGGCATAATGGGCCTTTAAATATGAGTAGCCAACAAGTATAACATTAGTTCTCTATACAGAAGAACTGTCTTCCTCAGAATGCAGGTTGAGGATCTATGCAATGATCAAGTAGACATCATCAAAGAAGTTAAAACAAGTGGCATGCATATTGACATGTTTGTGTTATTTATAAAGCAACACTATAGCAACAGCGCTATGCACTTAAATATACATGTTTACCCTTAGAATGTTATAAGCTGTGCATTATATTAATAGCTGTTAGTATATTCATGTAGACTGATGTTTTCTACAGAGATTCTAAAGCACCAATATAAATATACACACCTATTTCTTTGTTGTCAAAAAATGAAATGTTAATTTGTTTTCAATGTATACATTATTGAATTATTATTACAAAAAATTTAGTATGTATATCATTACTGTGACTTCGGGGTCTCTGTAGTCTACTTTTGCTTTTTTGCTTAAATGTACAGGTGTTTTTATGCTTTATTTAGATTTTCTAATCAACCTTTTTTTCATTTTCAAGTTTCAGGAAGAAACTCCAGTATAAAATTCCGTCCAATTTTACCCTGTATGTAACTAATATATTGGATTTGAACATGTTATTGTTATTTTCTCTGGCATTATTAGATTCATAAACTTAAAAATAGAGCTACAGTGATTTGCTGAATCAATTTCCTGTTAAGGTTTCTTATTTATTAACAGCTTTCAGGAGAAAGGCTTTCATTTACAGACAAATATTGAAACACTGTTAATTCTTAGGTAATGCCGGTAAAAGGTTACAATGCTTTACTACTGGCAAAATAAACTGAGAAAATATTAATTTCAAAACCTTTAAAAATTTACATCACATTTAGATATATATGTATATTCTAATGGTTATATATGAAGAGATTTTTAACAGAAAGGTGCCTGTTGTTCTAAGATTTGTCATTGATTCAGTGCAAATTAAGCATTTGGATGATATAATATTGATATTGGATGACGAATATTGATGCTACACCAATATATTGATCATTACTTACAATTACTTGAAGTTGTCTATACCTCTTTAAATGATTTCAGTAAAAAAAAAACATGTTCTGTTCATAATAACAATTAATCTTAAATGTCCATTGCTAAAATTTTTTCACTCTGATCACTTATGAAACGTGCTCTGTTTTGAATATGAAGGTGTCCATGATGTTAAAATATGAAAGGTTTTGATATCAGAGTACAAAATCTAAACAACCAACATGATAGATTATTATACTGCCAAAAATGCAAAAGTTATTAAAGTTGTGTACTGTAAAAATTTGGGGTAAAAATATTGCTTCATAACAGATACAAAGGTTTTCAATAATTTCTATGTTGGCAGTTATTTGGAATAGCGAAGTGTAACTTTCAAAGGGCTTAACAGAGAAAGTTCACAATTGAATGACTTGAATTTTTTTTTTCATGATGTCTACAAAAAAGCTTTTATAACTATATAAACCATTCCTTTATAAGTTCTAATATAAATGGAACTTGAATTTTGTATATATTCGTTTCTCATCATGACTTGAGGATTGAAGTTGAAAATTTTAATGCATATGTTTATTGCTAAAGATTTGTTAGCACAATGGTCAGAGAAGGTAACAAATATGTTCACATGCACGTATAACTAACTTGGGAGATATATTTATGTTCCTTACATGTAAAATACCATTTGCTACATGTCTGTAAGTCTGTAGTTATCAATGTTGCCAACATGATAGTTGATGGCCACATTGTTGCAGCTATAAAAATAATGGAGAATGTCATTGACTTATATCACTGTAGTGACCATAAGTGAACTTTTTTATGCTAACTAACATATCTTACCCATCACCTCATACTGCCAAACTACTTGTTAAATCACAATATCTCCTATAATATAATCATAGATATATTCAAAATATGATTTGGGACACAAAAAGCCATTTGGAGGCTATATAAAATATTTAAGAAAATAAATCTTGTGCTATTAAACCAGCAATTAATATAATAAATATGAGGATATTAGAATGAAAATAGAATATTAACGAGTGTAGTTCATTACTGAATTTATTGAACAAGTTGACAAAAATTATCTTATATGCGCGCCTCTTGGAAGCCAACAGCCATGCAGTTTCATTTATATGGTGTTGCAAAAAAGTAATTCAAAAGTTTGGCAGATTGCAGGTGACGGAAATGGGTGGGTTTAACAGCATGAGACAATGTATATACAGTACTGGTATATCATCAGTATATGAGAAAACTTTAAAATATTTTTATTTCTGATTGTTGAAAATCACAAGTATGAAATTTGATAAAATGATTACCATAGTATGAGTAGATTAGTTGTTTTGTGATCAGTATGTCAGACTTGGTTTACAACAAACTGAAATGCTTTAAATTTATATGCAAGTTTTTTTATTCCTACTGTTTTAACTAAGTTAGTGAGATTGATAATTGAATGAGACACTCAATATTTAAGATTGTTTTGGTTGCCATATGGATGCCCTCTCAACAAGAAAGAAAGTTTTCCTAGCTTTCATTTTCATGCATAGGCTAAAAATTTACAACAAAATAATGGAAGTGTAAAATCACTAGTTTTGGCTTCCTTTGTCTCCATTAGATTTACTTGTTCTACAACGTTCTGATTATCTATTTTTCAAAGCATTTTAGTACAATGTATAAATATAGTCTTCACTTGTAAAGTTGTTTATACCATTTTTTTTTAGCTTAGAATTGTTTTTAAAGATATTAGTTGATTAGTGCTTTGCTTTGACAGCATACATTTTATTTAACTAGTTATGTATATATATTTCCACTGGACGCAGAGATCACAAAGTTATTTGCTAACCATATGTTTGGAAGTGGTAACATGTTTGGGAGTGGCCAGATATTTGGTGGGAGTGGTCAAATATTTGGTGGGAGTGGCCAGATATTTGGCAATGGTGCCAGTGCTGATAAGCCCAGTGCAGGTATGACAAGTATACATATAACCAAACATGTGTCTTGACTCCTCCTCTTGGCCAGGTCTCCATTCTCTGTGTTTGCCATTTTGCAATTATATTGACAGAAGATGTTGTCACGTACATTGTCATGCATGCCTGAAGACAAATGATGCATGGGCATTATGTGTGTTTTATAATGAGGATTTGGGGAATAATTTGTGGTATAATTCATTGTGTAATTGTGTATTTTAATGTATATGCATGCTGATAATGTTTGTATTGATAACAATGGAATCAATCTTTCATGATACTCATTAGTTAAATGTATCAATAAGTGTAGGTGTTTCAGGGATTTAAATAATATGATATCTAAATGAACATTCATTTGCATTCATAACCAAATTAAATATGCATTAATAAGAATTATTAAAACTGTAATAAATCTTTTCTAAACAAATACCACAGAGAAAATTTGTAATGTTAGTAGATTTCCATTTTGATCGCAAACTTTTGATAATGACTTTTTCCTCACCCATCGATATTAATTATTTTCTTTTAGACTTTTGTCTATTGTTCCATAAAATAAATGTAGAGCTCTTTGTTTTGACAACCTGAATTTTCAAGTTTGTATTTGGCTGTGTGTTTTATTTCTGTTTCATGATTATTTAATGTTGTTTAAGGTATCAATAGTTTTGATAATATATCTATTTTTCAGATTTAGACATGTAATACCTGTCATATTGTAGTCTGATGCCTGTCACATGGTACAGTGTAGTTAACTTTATCTTTGTCTGGTTTATGCATCAGACTCAATTGCAACCCAGCCCTACCTACAGTATAGCCAAGGGGATAGCTGGGGAAACTAGCCAACCTTTTACATAATACATCTGCTTCATCCTTAACACACTGGCTGGTAAATGCAGTGGTGTGTTTTGGGTGCCAAAATTGCAGAATAATTATAGCCATCTCTCAGTGTGAGGACAATTATTGCAAACAGTGACAGACAGTGTCTTCAGGAGACACATTGAGAGTTGGGGTGCCGGGCTTCACCAGAGGTTTTAGAAATCCACAAGTCAAAGTTTCCCATTATTCCCTGTGGTGGGGTTGGGGTGGGGCTTGGTTGCTATGGACTGGTTCATTATGATTCAGCATGAGTTATGCAATATCTTTTATTTGCATGATTTATTCGTGGTTTTTGAAGTGGTTATTTGAATGGGTGCAGACCACATGACTTTTCTTTTTTCAGGTATACTGCATATTGTTATTAATGGTTGAACTGAGAAGATAATTTTGTTGATAGTTTATTGGCATGATATTGGCATATGGAATATAAAGTGTATTTTGACATATGCCTGAAAATGATGTTTGATAGGTTTAAATGTTTGGTTTTAGCTTATATCAGGTCCCTATAATATAGTTTTAAAGCTTAGTAACATGCCTCCAGATGAGCCAAAATTATTGCAAGAAAATCAACCTTGTGAAAAATGAACTAAAATTTTAAGAAAAGCAAACATATTTAATTTAATAATACAAGAAATAATATTCATGCTGTATGCAATTTATGACTGATTTTGCAGTATTTAACACCAAATTTCTACTGTGTGACTATAATGCAGTTAAGGCTGTTTTTAAATATTCTGACATATTTTTGTAGTTTTTAGGCACCGTTTGATGAGTGAAAATTATTTCTTTGTTTACTTGACAATATTTTACTTTTTTCATACATTTTTATAACTTTCATGAAAATTAGCATGAATCTGGAGGCATGCAGCTTTAACATTCTGTTATATTTATATAACAGTCAAATGATAACACTAATGGTGGTCTATGTTTGAGTAAATGCAAAACTTTTATAATGTATGTTATGGTATATAAAGCATGTGATTTATAAAATGAAATGGACAGAAAACATTAGATTTCTTCATATTAAATAAACATACATATAGGAATATTGAGGCACAAGTTATATTGTATTTAACATTAAAGGGTAATAAAGCTATATCTAATGCAATATCTTGTATAAAATTATGAATGATAATATTATATTGATTTCATAGTAATATTATGATGGTGAAATTTCAATAGAGTTGTCACATAGAATGTCTCTGTTGTTTAACAAACATAAATATTGTATGTATAAACAGAATAAAATGTATAAACAGAATAAAATGTTCAAAAACAAAATATTAATTTGCTGTTTTAAAACAAGTTTCAATCATTAGAAATTATTTCATTCATGAAACATTTGTTCAAAATGATTTCTTTCTTTCTTTCTATTTGGAATTATTCCTTTTCAAAATTCAAACTGATAATTTTGTAAACTACAGACATAGCTCTATGATATTAAATCACTTTGATATACATGCATAATTGCATATTATGAAAACAATTAATGATATCTTTTTGATTTTTGATAACTTTGGTATTTTCAGAACAGTTTTAATTATGACATCATAAATTGAGTGCAAATGTAATTTTTCAATACAATGGACTATTTCTTCATTGCATTTTTCAAATTTTATTAAATCCTGTATGTTTTGTAGCCTGATGAATAAATGTCTTGTTGCATGTAAATGAATTTAAGATTAAAATAGTTTGTATACTTCGTGTGTTGAATAAGATATTTTTATTTTGAATACATTTTTATTATATACAGGTAAAATATAAATTATAAAGGTTACGTCAAATATATAGGTCATACCAAATATAAAGTAAAGGTCAAATATTTAGGTCAGGTCAAATATTTAGATTTAAATGCATTTTTCTTAAAGATAATTTGCTGAAGATTTTTCAAAATTGATTTTATTAGTTTTATAGAAGAAATGCACCTATAACTTATTGTTAAGCAAGGTTAAATTACATTCAAGTATGTATGGTGGTTGATTTCTATCATTTTCTTGTAGTATTCTTTTCAATTTGTTATCACATATGCTGCTGGTGAACAGTGAAAAGATAAAATCATGCTTGTTTAAGTCACACTGCCTATGTGTTAATATAAAATGAATATGACATGCTGTCTTAAAGTTGATTTTGTTGGGTTTTTTTATGATAAAATATCGCACAACAATTAAGACAAAATTAATTGAGTTTGATTTGCTATTAAGTGAAATCAGTTTGCTAGCGATAACGTGTCCCAAGACAAGACAAAATTAATGAAGTGAATTTGGTTTGTTATCATCTTTTTGCTTGTGGTAAAGCTTTGCTGTAATGACAACATGCAGCATATTACAATTCAATTGCATGTTGTCTTCATTTCATAATTTAAAAGTGAAAGAAATCAGCCATCTTCTTATTTTATACAGATATTTAACTCTAGAATTTATTTATTTCACCAACTTTCAACTCATTTAATAATAGTGTAATGAACAGAATGAAAAGTCAGCTCACCTTTTTAGTACTGTATTTATATAACCCTATTAAAAGTATATTTTAGTACTATATTAATTGTAAATTAGTTATTAATTGGCATTCCACCATTAAACCAACAACAGGTGCTTCAATCAACAAAACACTTGTTGTTGGATAACTGATCTATTACACTAATGAGATTGTCTTAATTGTTACCACTGTTATTACTTGATTTACTTCCAAACATTATCAAGTGGTATTTTTGTTCCCTGCCATATGTTCTTATCAATTCCTTCATCTAATAACTCTTATTCTACTAAGGATATTCAAGTGATGCAAAACGGCCATGAAGATTATCAAGTAGAAAAGAAATTGTTTAAAATAATTGAATAAATTTGGTTTCTAATTAACTTTTATGTTTTGTAATCAGTGAAATTATATCTAATGTTATACTTCATGAAATTGGTGTTCATCTTTTTTATCTTTATGATTTATTAAAAAAAGATGTTGTAAAGGCAAAATTAGGTCAATAATAACTGCTAAGCTAATATTACTTGTGTTACATTTGATACTTTTCTAAAATTTAGCTGTAATTTGTACTATACATTATTTTATATTGGATAAACAAGTGTTATATGTACGGATAGGTGAAATATTTTATATTTTCTCTCATTTGACTTTACCCTTTTGTTATAATTTTAATATTATAATTATTTGATTCATTGGCATATTTTCATAATAATGCATTTACCATGAGGTGATGAATTTGAAATATTTTGCTTGATGTTCTTGTGATATCATAGATTTAATATCTGTATTTATCATTATTTCAGATACAATACGAGATTCTGATTCACCTGGAATTATTCGTCGACTGTCGACAATGCTTCATTCATCATTTAGATCAACACGTCTTAGTACACACCGGAACTCGGATGATTGCTCCAGCTTAAACTCTGTCCATTTGTCTCGTACAACATCTGTTTCCAGTCCTAGTCATACATTATTGCGACGTGCCACTTCTAAAACTGCTAAAGGCAGTTCCATTATCCGTAAAGACGGCTCAGTGATCATCACTAAAAATGGAAAAATTATTTCAGTTCGAAGAGACATAGACTCTTTGAAAAGAGATAAAAGTTTTAGTGGATTTGAAGATATGAAAACTAGACATACAAATGGTCTCTCCAAAAGTTTTAGTGAACTTGATATGAATGAAAAAAGAAAAATAGAGTTCTCTCCCCTACTAAAAGCGAACAATAATCTAGGTGGACAAAGGTCCCCTCGTCGATCTCCATTAACTTCTAGAGATAACGTAAATTCTAAGTTTGGCCACACCTCTTTAACAAAGATTGACAGTGTTGATGAAACTGAAACTGAGTTCAATGACAATAGGCTCCGCCTTCCACAGCGACAGATGTCAAGGCCCAGCCAATCATTGACAATCTTACCAGGGGAGGAAACTTCACCATCTATTCATTCTCAGGAAAATTTGAGTATCTCCCCTTCAGTCAAATCTGATTTAGACGATGTTTTTGTACAATCTCCTGAACCAGTTGTGTTCAGTTCACAAGAAGGTATGCTTAATTCTATGACATTACAGCCTGTTGTTAAAGACAAGAAACATCTCGCCAAGAGTGACAATCAACTTGACGATATAAATTCTACGGAATCATCAGACATTAAGAAAAGTAAAAAGTCATTATCAAGGAGCACAAATGTTGTGTATAAGGTACCATTGTTAAGGTATCCATCCGTAGAAAAACTTGACGTGCATTCACAGATTCCACGATGTTCAAGTGACGCATCATCTATACCAAAACTAATACCACGGTCTCAGCTCCATGTCAGGAGGTGGCTGTCAAATAGGAATGTGGACACCACCCAGAAAAGTAAAACTTAGGCGAAAAAAGCCATTGAGCATTTACAGATTTTATGTTTATTTCTTTTTAAAAGTATTATGATATTGTCTACCTTAAGAAACATGCTTAATATGTAGTTAAAGTGATAAGATATATATGATGTGTACAGTCAACCAAGGTTAAGAGTCACATTTAGAATATTCTGTAAACTGGTCTCATTTTCTGCTTAAAAAACCTTTTAACTTTTGCACAAATAATTACTATATCAATAGCGACCTCACTAAGGCTGAATATTACTATGGCAATTCAAAGGGTTAAATAATCTTGAACATTAATGTTAAGAATTTATTCCACGTACATTTTGAAGTAGAGTCTCAGATCAACAAACAATAATTACCCATTCAAGAGATCTCTTTTAGATCTAGAACTTTTTTAAATACATGTATACAAGAAATACATTTTATATATATGAATTTCTAAAAGCATACAAAGTGTGACAAATATACATGCACAAACTTATTACTGGATTTTTCATGTAAAATTAAGAGGCGGTAAAGAGGTGTTTTCCTTTAATCAAATTTGTTGAAAAATCCCCATTTAAATCCTGAAATATTGTAAAGGCTTTTGTCATAACCATCTTGATCCTTTGCTTTTTCTGATATTTCAGGCTTTATTATTATATCTCTGATATCTTTAAATGCAACTGTATTATAACTATTTATGTATATTTATTAAGCAGTAATAAATATCAACATGTTTAACCAGATTTTATGTTGCAGAATTGTCATCAATATTAGCCCTTTAACAACAAAATTAATGTATTATTGAAATATTTGCAGAAAACCTAGTTTGTTGGCAATTTCTAGTCACTTAATACTGAAAATTTAAGTCCAAACATATGTATAAAATTGATTTGATCAAACCATGATTTACATGTAGTTATAGTATTGTATAGGGCAATATAGAGCTTAATTGGGACTCTTTAATTGCAGGTTTTGTTATTTAAATTGCAAGCCTTGATTTTACTATAACTTTATCAGATTTGTTTAAGATTATTTCTATATAATCATGATATATAACTACCGGTATATTTAAATCATGCTTCAAATTACTACGAATTTTATCACCACCAGGGAAATGTTATAAATGCTGGGTTTATTGAAATTTTATCTAAATAAAAAATAATACAGGTATACTTTATCATGCTTTTTTTGGTGTAAATATATTTCTTATTTTAGAAAATAATGTTTTAAAGGAATTTTACAGTTTTAAAAGATATAAGGCAATGAAATTATAGTCTATATGTACATGTTTCTTTAAAAAACTATAACTAAATCCTCATTCTCCAAAACAAAAACAGGTCATTTAAACAAATTGGTATGGTGAAAGTTATAAATGTCATTCAATTTTAATAAATCAAACTTCTGTAACTTGCTCTGTTAGTTCTGATACCAAATAATTGTAATGTACTGGACAATAAAAAAAAATCTTGATTCTGTAGAAGCCTATGACAGCCCACCACACTAGCATATGCCCTTAAACAATTGTTACTTTGTGCTAATAATACATGTGTATACTTACAAACCTCTCTCTTATTTTGTAGGATGGACTTATCCTGTTTTGAAACTAGAACTGTTTATTGTAAATGTAAGGGATATTGTTAACAAAATACAAGTCATTAAGCCTTAAAGTACTGGAAACGAAATAGATTAGCCTTTGCCACCAGTATTTAACCCAGGTCAGCCTGTAAGTCTTTGCAGTCAGACCGCAGGCACCATACTTAACTGATGGTCATCAAACTTCTAATTTTCATCTTAATAACCCTTCATTATTATACTGGAAGAAAAAGAAATAAGTAAAATCGAGAAGTCGACAATTCCATTTCGAAAATTTAGGAGTTTAAGGGTCAAATAGCCAACAATATAGAATCTGATCAAGTAGACTGCAGATATATGGCAAGGAAAAGAGATCAGTGCCGCTGGCATTCAAAGGTTGTATAAAATGGCAACAAATTACGCAAAATTTGTATAGTATTGATGATTTTTACATGTTTTACAGTTTATTATTATATTATATAAATATTGTTGTTGTTTGTTTCAATAGAATTTTTAAAGATAGCTTATATTTGTTGTAATTTCAGTTGTTTTTATCTTCAGTTAAATTAAGATGGTGCAGGGTTAATGAGTTAAATTTTTATGCTAGCATAGTTGTTGCTACCTGGTGTATCTGTATGTCACACCTTTGTCCAGATGGAAAAGCAAATAAATTTGATTAAAACCTCACAATAGGATTAAGACCAGTAATGGGAAATGCAGTATTAAAGAACCAAAATGTTACCTTGCTCAATTTTTGTTTGAATTTATCTCCCTTAATTATACTTATGCTTATCTATGGTATAGATTTCTTCTCTTTTGTTTCGATAGCCATTATTTATTGACTGATGTCTATCCTACAAGGAAAAGTTAATATCTTGGATGATTCTGAGTAACCAAAGGTGGAGTAAAGGGATATTATATTTTACACTTCTGGTTATACAGGCTCTATTTATCAAACAATGTGCATTGAAACAAATTGACGACAAGTATGCAGGATCGGGAGCATCCAACACCACCTTTTATAACTTGTCTTGTTCCTTGACAGTCTGTAAAAAATTTTAGTCTATTTTATATTCTTGAAGCAGGCAAAATTATGTTTTAATGCCTTGAAGTTTACTTTCACCATGTAAAACTGAATGCTTTATTATTATTTAGATTGTTAACTAGTTTTATATGACCCAGGAGTATGAACAGTTTTAAGCATATATTTCTTAAGCTATTTAGCAAGAGTTAAAAAATAATCAAGTAGATTACTGAATGCCAGTCCATTTAAACTTGTCAAAAGTCTTTATTATCAAATTTGTAATAGAACACAATTGCATTTGTGTTGAATAAAAATTAGAAATACTTCATTCATAACAATTGCACATTATGGATTATTATATAATGTCTTTGTTATCCAATGAAAATCATTGTTACATTCATGCAGTATTATTAGCTTTTTCATATAAACCAGATACATTTGTGTATATACAAGTCTTTGTAATATGTTCCTTGTTTTTGTAAGAATATATTTTACTGGCATTTTAATATTTCATTTTCAAAATATTTTACTGGCACTTCTTTGAATTTTAATACGTTCATTTTATTTTCAGTAAACTTTACTGGCACTTCTAGGCGTTGATTATATTTCTTTTTTAATATATCTTATCAGACTTTCATAGGCATTTTTAGTATTTCATTTGCACTCTCTCACATTCATCAATTAACTTGCAGTGATCTTTATTCTACAATTTGTTGTAAAGTTAACAAAGAATATTTGTATATTATCTCATCTTTCTATTATGACATCATTGTCATGTAAATTAAGACCCCAAAAATATTTCTGTTTCTAATTCTTATTTTTAGTTTAATAATATTCATTGTTCACTCGATTATAGTTCAAATGGATAGGGCTAAAGGTTATTAGTTTTCTGCATAAAGTTGTGTATTATACTTATTCTGGTATTTCCTTTTTTAGTCTCTGACGTATAATATTCTTTCTATTTTATGCAGTTTAAACAAAAATATACTGTATAGGTTCGGCAGTTAAAACTTGCAGAAATCTTTTAGCCTAATACCATTTCAATAAAAACACGAATATAATGTATAATGATATACCAAAGAGAATGATTGTGTAGAGAATCTATGTAAAAGAGTGTAGAAAATGTGTACACATAATTATATCATTCTGAGCATATTTATATATATTATAACAGAATATAAACACAAATTTCCATGACAGTTGTAACATAGATTATTACTAATATATAAACTAATACTTACAGATATAATAAGGTTATTAAAATATGATTTAAAAAAAAAATGTTGCAAGTTACATATTTTTTATGTTTGAAATTATAAAAGATAATTAAGTTCTATAATCATATGTCATAACAAAATTTGTTGTTTTTTCTACTTCATTTAATATTTTATAAGTGTCTTACTTTGTATGAATTTTGTTCTTATATTGTTTTTGAAAATATCATAATGGCATTATAACTAAATCATAACTGAATGATTGATATAATTTTCATCAACAAGATTTATGTTCTGATTAATTATGTTCACTAAAAACATGAACAAAAATGCATGTTAATCTGATGTGTTTATCAAAGTTCATCAGAATGAATCGTGATTAGCAATTACTACTGGCTGTTAATTAATAGTCTAATTATCTATATGTAAATTTTTTATGACCATTTGTCAAAAACTCCATACCCTACATACCATTTTAGATAACTCATTTAGAATGTCTGTTAAAATAGAATGAGAATTTGCGGTATTTTCCTTTGATGCTCTTATATTAAATGACGTTGATAATTTAACAGGTGGATTTTCATTTAAATCTTGTATTGCTTCATTAATTCATATAATGTTTAGTCTGGGTTAATATAACTTTTACATTTTAGCTTACACATTTGTACCAAGAACATCTCTTTCCAACTTCTAGATTTTCCAAATATTTGTATTTTCTTCTTTTCTTTCTTGTCCATTAAATGAAATGAAATGAATTGTACAAGACAAATAGATTTATGTAATGTAAAATCTAAAATATTATTTTTTCTTTTATTTTGCAAAGATATATCTTTGTACATTTCATTTTTTATTAGTCAGTACAATTATATGGCTATATACTTTTAAAAATACGATTATCAGAAAAAAAATGTATGACAGTTTTTAATATAAAAAAAAGTTGTGTCAAAATTTGGATAAGACAAAGATATTACTTATTAGCTTGTTTATGAAATAAAAGCTTTTGTAGGGTGCTTTTATTTACCATTCTATAGTCTACCTGCAGTAACTATGACGAGTTACAATGCCTTTTTTATATTAAAGGGAAAAAACAAACATAAGGTCAAAACACCTAAAATCATTTACTTGACTTCTCACAAACTCTTGGTATGCAGTCCCTTTTAATCACATCAGTTAAATTTATTTCTCTCTGCATTTGTATGAGGGTATACTATTATCAAACCTTCACGTGTATTTTTATTGGCGTGATGCTTGATCTGTTAAAAAATCTCACCTTGCTTAAACTTATAATATACCATATCTCATAGCCATAATGCTTTTAAAGATACACAAAGTCAGTTTATATTTTAATCATTTTTATGTGTTCATATTTTAATCTTACAGCTCATTATTACGGCAGTTGTGTTGTTTTCTATTTTTATTTATTGATGTAAAATTAAAGTGTCATTAATGATATGTTGTGAGTTCTCGTTGTTCGTTTTTTCCATCTATATTTTAAATTATCATCACAGATCTATCGGTTCCCTGAGCTCAATGGAGAGAACATCTAGAGGCCACTGCTTTGCGAGGCGAGGTGTAAGTTAATAATTACTGGTTAATTATCCAGGAAAGCCGTTTTAAGGATAAACCCTTGAGATGCGACAAAAAGAATGAAGCAGTCGTTCAAGTGCCTTGTCCATCTGATTGGACGAATTGTACAAGTAGTCTGCAGGCGTTTTACAATAAGCGTTTTACAATAAGAGGCGTCCAAGGATGGTCAGGGTGTAAATTTGAGCATGACAATGCCACCTCTCACAAAAGCGAGATTGAAAATGTTAGAATTTGTAAGCCATCCGCCTTATTCTCCTGACTGAAGTAAAGTCCCTGCGACTTCTGTCTATTTCCCAGGATTAAGAATATGCTTTCTGAGATAAGGTATGCACTATGCGCTATTTAGAAAATCTTCCCTTAAAATTATGATTTTGTTCAGATAAAAAGATGTCCTATTTGATTTATTAGACCCCTTTATAACAGCTTTATCCATTAAATGCATAATCTAGCCAGAAAGGAGAAAATTCAATGACAATACCGAACTTTCTGAATGCTATATATTCTGCAATTTAGTTATTATAATTCTATTAAATGATTCTACACTGGAAATATGTGCCTATGCTTAAATGTAATGGTTACATACATATAAAGTTTTAATTGCATTTAAGCTCTACCTTATTTATTACATTCCAATTCTACATAATGACACAGAACCACAGATATAAAATTGAACTAAGTTGAACCCAGAACAAAGATATTCATTGTAAACACTATATATATCACTATAAAAGGATTAAATCTACAGCTAGTTACGATTTCTTGTTTGAAATAAACATAAACTCTCAAAAATGTTGTCTTGTACTTTAATCAACATTATTCTACAGTATTCAACAGCTTAAACGAAATTTTTCAGCATGCAGGTGAAATAAGACGCTTAGCATTAGCTAGGATAATCATGTGTAATTAATTGATCAAAAGCAACATGGATGCCAGTACATTCTTCAATATAATTTTTTGTGGCCCATGGGGTGTCCTGTCCGTATAATTCTTAAGCATTGATCACAAATTAAATTCAATCAAATGAAGTTTGGAAATTTTTCACATATTGTTTTCATTTTACATGTATTTCTCTGCTGAGATCTCAATGTTTGCGCAGAATAGTGAAGATCACATCCTTGTGCAATAACATCTTAAATATAACCTTTATTGAAAACGACAATATTAAGTGCGATTTTTCTTTGAATGATGTATTTCACTCGATAATCTTACATTTTTGTCACCAGTCGTGCCTTTGAATGTTTAATTTTGAAACACTGATGATAATTTAGCTCGGTGCAATTCCCACAGATGTATTTGCCAAAGAGATAATTTTTGGACCGACAGTAGGTCACTGTACAGAGTTCAACGGACACCACCTAAAGGTACAGTATCCTGAGACAATTTTGTCCCGTCAAGCCGCCACTACGTACTAGTGGCTCACGCACCACAGTATCATACCTCGTCGTTCCTGTTTACTTTATAACCATCGACCTCAGTTAAGACATCGGTAGCTAACTCCATACGAGCCTATTCAAACTGTCTTAATTAAACGTAACCTTCGAACTTGCCGTTTTACACGTTGCAGTTGATCTTTAATCATCTGCCCCCACGACCTCCACGCATCGAAAGGATGATCCTTAAACACCATTTTGAATTTCAACGTTTTCAGGTGCAAAATAACAGTGATTACACATTCAATGATACATGGAAGTTGCTTTTACGTTTTGTTGTTGTTGTGTTTGTTTGTTTTTATTTATTTTTTTTTTTTGGGGGGGGGGGCTTTTTATTTTATTTCGTTATCTTTTTTTTATTTTCTTTTTATTTTCCCATTTCAACTGACTAGCGATGCTACACCTAGAACTGTTTTCAATGGCCATTAACCTTGATCATATTTTTTGAATCATTTACATATAAACTATAAAGAACATTGATTGCTATTTCAAGAAGAATTGTGTTAATTTATAACGGCACGTAAAGAAGGTTCAAACTTCTATTATAATTATCATTTTGCTAGAAATAGGGAAATTAGGTTTGAACAAAGTTTATATATATTTTTTAACACACGAATATAAGAAGACGGATAAGTCTTCCTACATGTGAATGAAATATGAACATTATCTTCTTGAATAGATTTTATTTGTCCTTGAAATTAATTC